AATTTTTTTTTTTTTTTTTTTTGGAACAAGAGTAGCCCAAGTTCATGTAGAGATCCACGGATCATCTCAATCTAACTACAATCCGTCCACCTACCTCTAGTTAAAGCTCAAAATGGCACGCCAATAAAAAAAAAAAGAATAGCAATTCTTCGTTAAACCCCACAAATAAAATAAACATCTTTCAAACTGCAAAACTGAACTAAAGCAACGCGTAATGTATGAAGAGAGAACCAGGGGATCTCGACTTGGGACAAGAACATAAGGTCGAGTGTTGGAGTGTTTGGTTCGTGATCAACAGTCATGTTGACTGCTAATAGAAGCGTTCAGGCTCAGTAGGTGATGAGCATCGAGCTTATTGATCTTGGAAGCGAGTATGAAGTCATTTTCAGTCAGTCCACCTGCCCCAAAGTGAATTATGTCAAACACAATCTTACAAATACTTAATTGGATATGAAACAGGATACTACTAACTTTATTTATTATGCAAGGAAAGGAATCAATTCAGAAATAAATTAGAACCATATTGTTCCAATTCAAGAGGTTTCACCCATTTTTTGCTCTTTATTTAGGGGTGGGGGTAAAGAAGAGGAATCATCCTGCATATGGTACGCTTTAATAATACTTTAGTTATTATACTCACTGTCCGGAAATGTTTTTTTTCCAGATGTCCACATAATTTTCACGTCTCAAATCAGCATATTAGAAATCTAACATTCATACAGAGTAAAGAATATTGTTTCATGTATAGGAATTTGGTTATAAAATTTAAGATGGTCAAACTTCACGTTCAAATGGTTTTTTAGACAGTTTAATTCAGACAATTAAAATTATGGGTGACACAAATAAGTCTAAGTTTAATGTTTAGGGGATTTTTATTTAATGCTGCATAAACAAAGAAATCTTACCTACCGCGTCTGTCCATATCTCAATCGTTACGTTGTTCCATCCAACTAGATGAAGATTAGGGTGATGGCCTGCGTTGAAATATAGAACTCAGATTTAGACCTCACTAAAATTCATATTGCAATAAATGAATCATGGTGATTCATGAACAATAGAAGAGTGCATCATATATTTCGAAGATGGAAAGCAAGATACCCTCTGCTTCTGCAACTTCGGCTATAAGTTCAAACAACTCCATTCCTTTAAGAAAACTCTTCACCTTCAATGATCGGTTCAACTTTAGTTTACCATCTTCATTTATAAGGTTCCACTCAGCCAGCTTTAAAAAGAAAAAGTAAGACAAAAATGAATGGAATGCATAACGATGATACGTTTTCTTTTAACAAATAGAACAGTCATCACATACCTCTCGAACCAAACCTTTTGCTGCATCCTCGGTCATTGGTCGCAAATCCTTTGAGTTGCAAGGAACACATTTTTTTTTCGTCAAATCTGGCACATACAAAATAGTCGATTATGTCACATAAGCAATGATGTATATGCAAATTACATTGTTTTCCATTCAGAGCTTTTCAAGTCCAGAGAATGGACATGAAAAACCTTTTCCTTGAATCAAATTCGCTAAACAAGCAGCATGTTGTAGACATGGGACAGAATGGAGGCCCCAATAAGAAGGGATCCTACAGGTTCCCTGACAGTAGAAGTATGCTCTGGTTGGATTAGTCATCAACCAGAAAAAGTATCATGCGTAAATAAAAAAGAAGGTTGACACTTTGCAGTAGCTGCTTCACAAATTTCAGTGAGCTTAAAGGCCAACCCGCACCTTCTCCAGTACAAAGCATTCTAAATCCAGAAAGTGATTTCCTACTAGATGATAAGCCCACATGCTCCCTACAATATCCCAGTAATTCGAGAAATTGGACTGTACATACACAAATGACCTCTTTCTGAATCTAAACGAAACGCATACTAACGAAACTTCAATATTGTATTGCTATTTATACAAACGTCAAAGTACTCGTTCATTACTAATGAAACAAGCAAACAAATTCACTTTTGTAGAAGGCTGCACGTAATGGCTTCACTCGCGAGTACAGCACGAAATATGGGTCCTGGAGAATCAGACTTTGGCAGAAGCGTCTAAGCAGTGTCCAAAAATGTAGATAATCCACCAAAGATGAGCAAAATAAGATGTCTAAAATAATAAAATAAATTCCACTTCGGTCATAGGCAGTATGTATTCCACTTGAAATTATCGGAGCTCAAGGTTTCAAACGTTTGATCCATCACAACATAATTATCCTTTCAACTATAAATTTTCGATCAATTTTTTATTTACGCACACATGCATGCACAGAAAAGATAAGCAAACTGTTAAATTACGTAGGCCAGACAAAACAACGACGCTAGTCTTGATTTCAACGCGATATAACTAGAATCGCAGATCCACCACATCCTAAATCTGCGTAATCGCAATTGCTCATTCAAAGATGCAAAAAAAAAAAAAAAAAAAAAAAACATCAAAAACGTCGACGTCAAATGTGCGAGTCAGTCATAAATTCAAACACCTAGCATGCAATACATTGAAGCCAACATTTACACAGATTTACCGTTTCGTCTCGACTTAGAGATCATCAACATTTCATCGAATGATAAAGAAAAGATGCACTTGAATTCGGAGAAACGAATTACCGTTCATTATGTCGATGGATGAAGTGAAACAGCGACGAAAACGGAACCTGCAAATTCAGAAATTAGTAGAAAATCAAAGTGTGTGGATTAGATGATTTGTGATACGACCTTGGTTTTGAAAATCAAGCGCAGAGGAGAGTGCGAAAAAATAGGTCATTGCGATTTGCAGATAAAATTGTATCTACGTGATGTTGCCGCTCAACGCTTCCAACTTCCAACTGAACACGTGCGCCGATGACCGCCAAATGTTGGAATTGATAACCACGGCCATTTTAAGTGGTTGATTTTCTTAAATTTAGATAATTATATCAAACATATAATTATTATAAAATCCAAATTATTGGGTTTTTTATCAATAGAAATTCGATTATTTATTCATATAATCTAATTTTGATAAATCAATATTCCATAGATATTTTTAAAATTTATCAATATTTTTTTTTAAAAAAATCAAATAAATATAAAAATGAAAAAAAAAAAGGAAATTTTAAAAATATTTATTAATCCATTAATTTTTTAATTTTGTGATTTTTATTCAAAATACCTATTAAATTTATTAGATATATTAATATAATGAAGCCGGAATACTTTCTATATTTGGCCAATCCACCGCTAAGATAGAGTTCCGATACGATCGACAGGGAAAAAGTGGGTCGCGTCTCATAAACGCAACCAAGGAAATCCGCAGCTTCTTTTTCGCCTCTGCACCTTATAGGAAAATCTTGAACTGTTCTTCTACTGACTGCTAGTGCTAGCTCGATCTTCGAAACAATGGTAATTTCGCCTCTGTCGATTTCTTGCTTTCGATTCATTTCTAGTGTATGAGGAAATCCTGTAGTTTGCGATGTAATCAAACGCTGCTTCAAACTCTCTTTTATTGATGTTTACTCTTCATTCAATCTGAGTTTCTTAATTATGCTTCGGCAATATTTCTCCTTTTCCGAATCAGGGGTTTGGCTTTTTTTTATCTAACGGCGTTTTCTTGCGTTTTTCCCTTAAATTTTATGTTCATGTATATGAATTCTTCAAGATTCGGATTACAGTTGGATGACTTAGAGCCCTATGTTAAACTACAAACTATTCATTTGATCATTTATATTCAAATAAATTGATGTAAAGGGCTATTTATTTTATGTATGAGCGGCAACTTGACTTGTTGGCGTTTTTAATCCAACATTTTTATTTTGAAGCATCAATAGGTTATTGATTATCATTGCCCTTTTTTCGCAATACTCATTGGTATAATTATTAATATCATTTATCACTCTCTTTCTATGTCACATTGTCAATGTTTGGCTCAAATCCTTCGTAGAGGACTAATCAATGTCTATAATTTACTACCATACCAAGTGATTTCAATCTTGTAAGTTTGATTGCTTAGCTTGGCAAGACAAGCTTAGCTGCTAATTCTATCAAAGTAGCAAGTGCCCATGATTTTCAACTATACTTGACGTCAGATAAACTCTATCTTTCCTTCTTGTGGCATTTTTTTTTTAATTTCTTTTGTCTCTGTTGTGGTTGTAAATGGAATTCTTCACCTTTGACCCTCATATAGGATGATCCTGAACTGGAAGCAATCAGGCAGAGAAGAATGCAGGAACTCATGGCCCAGCGTGGCATGGTAAGCTGTAGTCTCTTTGTTTATATGCGTGGGAACATTTTACTTGATCGTGGACATCTCTACTGACTTCTAATGATAATTAGGGAAGCCAAAGTAATCCAGAGCAACAGAAGGCCCAGGAAGAGGCTAAGAGGTTCTTGATTTTATTATATTATTTTGTAGTTGTTTTTTAGTCATCACTTTTAATATCCAAGTCCTGCTTTAGCATATGACAACAATTTCTTTCACATTCAGTGAAGCAGAGGAACGCAGACAAATGATGCTCAGCCAGATTCTGTCAATGCAAGCGAGGGAAAGACGTAAGTTTAACCTTAGCATGCATTGTAGATAGTATCTTTACCCTTAAAAAAACTGTACTTCTTTTCCTCATCCACGATCTATCAACCCCAAATTGATTCCCCCACCCTGAAAGAAAGAAGGAAAAATTTTCTTATTTGGATTTAAATGTCGTTAATTCAGTTTAAGGATGATTCTGGTTGCATACTTTCAATTTTGAGGTTGAACTGACTCGGACATTCTTCATTATGGGACCAACTTCTTGATTAGAGTTTATATGATGGTTGTAGATAACATTTTCTTTTTTCTCCGTGGTTCCTGGATATTCTCTTTTACATGGATATCTTCTAGTAAGATCATTTGTGATGCATGCTACGATTTTTGGACCCATGGTTGCAAAAAAAAAAAAAAAAAAAAAAAAAAAAAAGAGTTTCAAATGGTTTTCATGCTTCATTGAATGAAATGGATACTTTTTGCTTATTTTGATTCACAATTCTTATGCATTTTATTATTTCTCAATGTTAGATTTGGGGTTTTGGCATTGATGATACCTTTGGCAATAGTCATACAGCATTATTATCAAATAAGATTGCTAAACCAAGAGTATAAAGATTTGGGTGGAGTATGGATCTTTTTTGTTGATTGTTGATGTTACTAGATCTACTTTTACTCCAGCCTTATTTTCGGGCAATTAGATGGCATTCCTGTCAAACTGTGCTTTGCTATTAGCTGGCATGGAGGTCGTACGGGCAAATTATGCCTAGTTAGTCATTAGTGCATTTTGGTTACTGGCTATTTTACCGTATTCATGTTCATTTTTCCCTGTGCTTTTATGCAGTTGCTCGAATTGCGTTGGTTAAACCTGAGAAGGCTAGAGGTGTCGAAGATGTTATACTGAGAGCTGCACAGATGGGCCAGATTGTAGAGAAGGTGTGTGCAGTAGCATATCGTTCCAGTTTCTTTGTCAAAATTGATGCACCTATATTTACTTCGGAATATGACAAACTCCAGTATGAATGAAACAACGGATTTTACCATCTCTTTTCAGGTGTCTGAAGAGAAGCTTATAACATTGCTTGAACAGATCAACAACCAGACCACAAAACAGACGAAAGTCACTGTGAGTTTTCATTGCTTACATTATGGGTGCCTGCTGAATTTTTATATGTTCTTGGCCTGACACTTTTTGTATAATGCTCATAATTCTTCAGATACAAAGGCGTCGAAGTGTCCTTGAGGACGACGATTAGCAAGTGACATGAATTGCTCACCTTATATAACATATGCATATGCCAGCAGTTTTGTTGTATGTTTATCGCTTGCACGATACAATATCTACCTGTTTATCCATTTTCTCTGCTGCTACTTTATCATGATCCCCCATAATCTCACCTCAGAATGCAAGAGCTCCTCGGAGTTGGCTGGTATTACACCATTGTTGCGGTCAAATTCTCCAAACCATTAAGCTGTATGTCAAGAGTATCGACCTTGAACTATTATTATGCTTCCTAATTTCTGATTGTTAAGAGGAATTGATTTCCCTTCAATTGTGGGTGTATTTTAATCTAGAGATTGATCTGTGCCTGCCTAATGCTATCCATACAAATTTGGAATCATTGAATATAGCTATTGATATGGTTGATTTGGATTGCTGTACTACTTCAATGATGAAAGTGCATTTAATAACCATCTTCTATTTCAATATGAATGCGGTATGAAACTTTTATGTTAGTAAGTACAGGTCCATATAACAAGGAAAATGGGAAAGATCCGTACTTTCCTCGCAGGAAACACAGATGCAACCAATGGCTTAGGCCCATCATTTGAGTGAGAGCATTTTCTCTTGTCTCTTTGTTTTCAGTTTCTCTTTATAATATTGGCTGTTGATTTGTGATGTGTGCTGTGATAATACCAAGTCGTCACATCCATCCATTTATGATTGTGATGATGAAACTTTTATTTGAAATCATGGATATGGATCTCTGTAGATAAAGGATAAGGTGTTGGAAAATGATACTGAAAAGATTCCTCTCAAAAGAGATTTAAGCATATTCAATGTTTGACATAAGGTTCATGGTGGATCATAATTTTTTTTAATTGGTTAAGGTACGTATTCTCATATATTCGCAAGTTGATTGTTATTCGACGGAAGAAATTGACCTTCGTTTTTAATAAATCAAATAATTGTCTTTTTTTTTTCTTTTATTTGTAATATTTAAACTATTTTTGGTGTTGTTTGATCGGATTGAATAGATTTAGAGTTTGGTTGACTTTCTATTTAACTTAAAACGTTATTTTCACACACAAAAAAGTTGTATTAAAATCTGGAGACATAACATGAACAAATAATTAATTTAGTTTATTAAGGGTAGTGTCTATAATATATTGAATTAAATTTAATTTAATGAAAATGACTGCTTACATATTCAATACGTTATGCAATAGAATCACATAGTAAAATACTTAATTGAGTGAATAAAAAAAAGCTATCTTATTGTTTATTTACCAAACAATTTTAAGGTAGTTTTAAATATGTTTGTAATTTTATACATCCATAAGGTGGTGTGACTAATGTTAATTAATTATGCTTACTTTACAAGTACATGTTAAAAATGGACTAATTATAAACTAATTATAATAAACGATTTAACCCAAATTTAGTAAGCCATTCGTTTAAAAGAAAAAAAATATACAAAGTTTCTATTGATTTCTTCTATATTTGGAAGATCAAAAACGGGGCATTGATCGAAAAATTCTAAGGTTTTTGTTTTCTCAAAAATAAAAAGAAGAGTCGAAAATTTTGAAGTAGATAAGTAAGAATATATTTCTGTCTTGAATTTGATGAAGCTCCATTTCTGCAACTGTTATAACGAAGATTAAAGAAAGAACCAAAAAAGAGAAGGGGGAGAAGGGGGAGAAAGAAGCCAAAGGAATTCGATTCCCAATCACACATTGCCTTCTCAGGCTCGGTTGGGATCCGATGTCAATTATCAACGCTCACCCTCTTGCCATTGACGCCTGAAATTGGGTTCTTGTTTTTTTCTCTCTTTTCTGGATCGTATCTCACTAATCGCTCCTTCGTTAATCCTTCGTCTTCCTCTGTCTTCGTTCTGTAATGTAATGTAATTATACTACTGGGTTTCCTCCATTTTTGACCCTTTTGAAGGATTTCGGTTCTGGGTCCCAACAAGAGAAACTTCCCTCTTCCCATTTGAGCTCTCACTTTCTGTCCCACTTTCTCTCCCACTTTGCCCGTTTGACTTGAAATTTATTCCTCAAGATCGTCGCCTTTGGTTTCCATTTTGACCCTTTTTGTTACCATTCTTCTGTTCCTGCAGCTCGCGGCTGTTCTGTGAATCCTCGCCTCAGAGGTCAACCTTCGCCATGGAGACAGAGCCTCTTCTTCCATATATGAGCCCAAGAGGGAAACCGCCTTCTCTGCCTCAATTATATCCACTCCCTGAAAATGATGAAATTATTCTCCCTATGACGCCCACGGAGTTCAAAGATCGCCTGATCTTTGGCCCTTCATCTTCCCCTCAAGATGCTTCTTCTGCGTTCGATGCTTTGACACTGTCTCTTGCCTCACCGAGACCCTCTGCTTCGTCTTCTCGTCAGGACCCATCTACCCCTTTGGACCCCAAATCCCAATCGCCGTCTCAACAGGGATGGCTTGTGGATTCGAAGCATTCATGCCACAAAAGCAACCTCCACCGTTCTAAAACAGCACCTGCCATGGCGGTCATAAATGATATCAACCATTCGCAGGAGCCCAAGCCACAATTTGGCAAACAATCTATAATCCGCCAAGCTGTTGTTCTTCTAATTATTTACTTATCATTGGGTGTGGTTATATATTGGATTAATCGCGATAATTTTTCAGCTTCGGAGACTCATCCCGTGGTCGATGCATTGTACTTTTGCATTGTAACGATGTGCACTATTGGGTATGGAGATATTACTCCAAATAGTGCAGCGACTAAGCTGTTCTCAGTTTTGTTTGTGTTGGTGGGCTTTGGGTTTATTGATATATTGCTGTCTGGAATGGTCAGTTATGTGCTTGATTTGCAGGAGAGTTATTTGTTAAGAAATGTGAAGAGGGGCGTGCAGCGTGAATCTGGGAAATCCTATATAATTGATGTGAAGAAGGGAAGAATGAGGATTAGAATGAAAGTGGCATTGGCCTTAGGTGTTGTGATACTTTGTATAGGAATTGGCATGGGTGTTATGCATTTTGTTGAGGACTTAGGGTGGTTGGATTCATTTTATCTTTCAGTCATGTCTGTGACAACCGTTGGATATGGTGATCAGGCGTTCAAGTCGATGACGGGTCGTATTTTCGCTTCAATCTGGTTGCTTGTATCGACCCTTGCTGTCGCTCGGGCGTTCCTTTATTTAGCAGAGGCAAGAGTGGATAAGCGGCATAGGATGATGGCAAAATGGATACTTGGTCAGGACATGACTGTCTCTGAGTTTCTTGCTGCTGATACCGACAACAATGGCTGTGTGAGGTATGCATTAACATCATTCATTCAAACTCATTCGCAGAATTAGCTTCGACAATTGGATTCGATGTTACTGATTCTGATCAGTTACAAGTCTTAATTGTCTTGTTTCATGAACATGCATAAGGAACAGGATCTTGATTCTTTTTATGATCACTTGATTGGATTCTTTCTTGCTCATATTGGTGAGTGTCCCGGGATAATCGTCTGACCTTACTACATTTAGTTGACATGGAAACATGTAAGATATTAAATCCTAGGTTGGTAGCAACTATCACCAGAAACGCTATACAAATTACTATACGAACAAATAGTAGAAGAGCATAGGCAGCTTTTCGTCCTCGAACTACTTGAAAGTAGAATTCGTCGCCTTCATCGACGTTTTGTAGCGTAAACCACTTAGAATGCTGTTTAACTGTTCGGGAATTTAGGTACAAAAGTCTCAACGGTCGAATGAAATCCGTGAGTGTGGTTTATTTTCCTATATAGGTTCTGACTTCTGAGTAGCAAATTGTTCATCATTTGATACAAATCGAAAAAAGTCTTTTGTTCTATCTGTAATTCAATATCTACTTCGGTTTCTAGTATAGTTGGCAGATATTGTTCTCTTTGTACTTTTCCTTCTAGGTCTCCCCTTAAAGTTTTAAAACGTGTCTATTAGGGATCAGAGCCAGACACTAAGTGGCGTGCCAGTAAGGACGCTAGGCCCCCCAAAAGGAGTGGATTGTGAGATTCTACATCGGTTGAAGAGGCGAATGAAGCATGCCTTATAAGGGTGTGAAAATCTCTCCCCAGTAGACGCGTTTTAAAATTTTGAGGGGAAGACAATGTCCTGCTAGCAGTGTGCCATGTTCTTCTGTCCACTCATAATTCATTCCCCTTTCCTTTTGATTCAAGTAAAGGTAGCTTTGCAAGCTTGTTTTGTGCATGTATAGCATTCCATTTAGTTTGACATTTGGTATTTTATGTTATCCATCTGCAGTAGATCAGAATATGTGGTATACAAGCTGAAGGAGATGGGTAAGGTATCAGAGAAAGATGTGATGCAGATATCGAATAACTTCGATAGACTAGACACTGGCAAATGTGGGAAGATTACGTTGGCCGATCTCTTGCAAAATCATCACTGATATGCGAACACGAGACCGACCACGATTTCCTCAGCATTTGGGTTCCGAAGAACTTGAGTTATATAGAATGAAGGAAGCACTTAAAGTGTGAGTTTGCATTCCCTGCAACATTTGTTTTTTTGTTCTATCTATTCATGTGATGATGCTGTACAAAGCCTGAAAGCATAGGAAGTATTCTTCTTCAGAAACTAAAAAGATAATTGTTTTGAACTTGTTGAACTGTTCATTTGTTTATTGGTTTATATCTTTGTAATGTGAGCATGGGATGTTGCTCCTCAATATAAATGTCTATACCTGCCTTTTATCTTTTATCATCTCTTTCTTTTTACGCACTGCTTCTGACTGCCATCTGTCTCTTAGCGACAGATTTAGACCTCTAATCTCTTAGTCGAGAGTATATATTTAGTTGAACTTAGTTTAGGTTTGTGAAGACGTATATCGGTTGGAGAGGAGAACGAAACATTTTCTTATAAGGGTGTGGAAACTTTTCTCTAGTAGACGCGTTTTAAAACCGTAAGGTTACGGTGATACGTAGCGAGTCAAAGCAAACAATATCTATTCGCAGTGGGTTTGGGTTGTTACAAATGGTATCAGAGCCAATTACCAGATGGTGCGAAACACTAGCCGGAGTACGTCTAGACCCGCTCCATAGTAGGCGTGTTTTAAAATCGTGAGGTTGATGACGATATGTAACGGGTCAAAATGGGCATTATATGCTAGTGGTGTGCTTGAGTTGTTAAAAATGGTATTAAAGCCAGACATCGGTTAGTGTGCCACCGAAGACGCTGGCCCCCAAGAGGGGTGGACTGTGAGGTCCCACATCGGTTGGAAAGGGAAACGGAGTATTTCTTATAAAGGTGTAGAAACCTCGTTGGAAAGGGAAACGGAGTATTGCTTATGAGGGTGTAGAAACCTGGAAAAGCCTACAGAGGACCATTTTCTTTCTAATATAGATCGGTCTCGATCCCAATTGTTTCTTTCGAGATGAACCCATTATAACGTTCCTTCTACCAACACGAACCTCCTCAAACCATTCAAACCATATATTAATAAAGTGCCCAAAACAGCCTCTTGTTCTTTGGTGACTTTTTGGGAAAATCTCCTTTTTCATAAAACCTTTTCACATTTGAAATAACAAGAGATATTGACATTACTAGATGGGACGCTGATTAAATTCGCATTTGCTATGTTGAAAAGAACGAAAAAGAGAATAAAGCTAACAAAAGCTAGGTTTTAGTAACTTTATAACATTGGAATTTTCAAAATAATTTATGTTTTTTCTGACCAAATCAAACCTAGTTTGTTGGCTTGTCACAATGTCAACATATAGTTTTATGCCCATTTTAATTATGTTTGGAAACATTTTCTTCTTATTGATTATATTTAATTGAATACCTGCATACACTCATTTAATACATGTATATATTATAAACTTTTTATGTATTTGAAACTGAAATTATTTTTTGTGTAACGGTTCATATCCGAAATTCGAAATTTAGATTCGACACATGATCATGTTAATTGCTTTTTGCTTCTAAGATCGGAGACTATTCTCACAAACCGTGAAATGTGAAATGTACACACAAACGTGGAGCCAAGGAAAGGAAAGAATTAATCATTTTTATCATACAAAAAATAATTAAGTATGCTTTAATTATATTAACTTAAAAAAATAAATATAAAGTTATGGAAATTACATGTTTGCCATCAAACCAATTATTGTCACGATCTCTAAATTTATTAACTTATTTAATCACCAAAAGAAAATGAAGAGTTTATGAATAACGTGAGAGCCACACCTTTAGCAAAAGAGATATTCACAATTAATGGTATTTTAAAAGGTTTCAATAATGATAACGTAATTTAAAATCATAAATTCTCCGGAATCTGACTAAATGATTTGATATAAAAAAAAAATAGGAGTTACGTTCTGTCGTTTGGGAGCGGGGTGAGTTAATCTGCCGACATGTAGTTTCGCCTTCGGTCAAATGACGGTGCCTGTTGAGCCACGTGTAACTCTCCAACTGCTTTTCTTTTTCTTTCTTTTTTTTTTTTTTTTTTTTTTTTTTTTTGGTAAATCAAAAGTTTGAATTATTGACCAAAGACCGATTTATTAACTCCTCGTGACTGACAATTATCTCCCACTCGCTCGCTGTCCACGTACACTTCACGCGCTCTCTATCTCCTCTCTAATTTGCGCCTTTGACCTTTTCAAACTCAAAACTTCATCTCTACTTTAATTTTGTTTTTCTTTAATTCTATTTTATTTTTGCCACCAAACATTCCCTGCAATTAAGCATTAAAATATTGTTGGATTTATTGATAAAAACAATATATTTAAATAATAAATTAATTATTTTCCTTTTCTAAAATAAATTATAAATCTTACATATTAGTATTTATATTAATATTATAATTTCCATGGTATTTAATTTATTAGATTTTATTGGTATTTAGAGGAGATTTGAAAAATATTAATAGATTCTCAATCTAATATGAATATATCGATATGTCAATCATATTTTAATAAGATAAATTAATTTAGTATTAAAGACGTTCTAATAATTAGTTCATTATTAAATAGATTTAAATTATTAAAAAAAATTGTGGAAATAAAAGTTAATTATATATTTTTCTCGTCCAAAGACGCCAATAATACGAACCAAATAAAGAGAGAAATTTTTATTTTCATCCAAATTATTTAGTCAAGTTTATAAATGTGATTAACTCTTATTAGGTATAATAAAAATTAATTAAGTTTTACTTATAAATTTAATTTTTAAGTACACACAATAATTCAAACTAATCAACAATTATTAATAAACTCCATATTAATATTGTACATTTTTGTATAAAAAAAAGGCTTTAAATATATTTAATTAATATTATTATAATTATTTAATTAAATATGGAGTCGACCACACTATTTTTACTTTTAGCAGCTATAATAATAGTAAATTAATTAAATTAAGTAGCTGAAAAAAATACAAAGGCAGTTAGTCAAAGGTCTTGATGGAATGATTATTATTATTGGTCTAATTCAAACCTAAACACTTTTCTTTTCCTAATATATAATATATAACAAGAAGACGATCTAATCCAGACGAGTGATCCCAAAACCATACTCAACCCACAGCTTCTTCTTCATCTACGTCGTCGTTTTGATCTTCTTCTTCTTCTTCAGCTTCCTTGTGATTCCATGTCAGATGAAATGTTTAGAGATCTATTTTTCTCGAACCCTTTTCGAGACAGTGGGTTCGGGGACTCGGAAACAGCCAGGAATTTTGGGGTGTCGAATGAAATTTTGGGGACTCCGATGAGTTCTTGTGGGTCGTTGTCGTCTTCCGATGCTGGAGCTGAGGAAGATGGTTCTGGGAAAGAGAAGGAGAAGGCGATGAAAGACATGGAAGATGGTGGAGAGAGTTCCAAAGCTGCGTATGTGTTTGTGTTTTGATTTTAAATTTATGGGTTCGAAATTTTTAATGTTCGATTTATAAACAGAGGTAAAGCGAAGAAGAAAGAGACAGAGCCGAGATTTGCTTTCATGACGAAGACTGAGATCGATCATCTTGAAGATGGATATCGATGGAGAAAATATGGACAGAAGGCCGTAAAGAACAGTATTTTTCCTAGGTAGACTTCTACTACAGTTTATCATATGAATTATATTTAATTTTTTATTGTACGTAAATATGTTGTATTGTTGAGTATAATTAGCCTTTCAGCTCGATTTACCCTATATATCATGTTTGACCCATCGTAGATTAATAACGTATATGATTTATTGCATTTGGTTTAGTAAATATTTTGAGAATGTAATGTAACAATATTTTTTAATTTTTTTATTAAATTTTTAAATGATTTTGTGTTTTGGTTTTTTCAGGAGCTATTACAGATGTACAACTCCGAACTGTGGAGTGAAGAAACGAGTAGAAAGATCGTTTCAAGATCCATCCATTGTAATCACGACGTACGAAGGGCAACACAACCACCCAATTGCGGCAATGCTGAGAGGAAATCTGTCGGCGGCCGCCGCATTTCCACCGTCCATGTTGGCACCAATGCCAGTGGTCGGTGGCGCTGGGTTTCTTCCGAAACCGTTGAGCGACCCATCCGGCAACAGTCAGGTTGTCGGCGGTGACGGCTACGTTTATTCACAGAGCAGCTTCGGGTATCCTTACAACGAGCAGCAATCGGAATATGGGGTTTTGCAGGACATTTTTCCATCTCCGTCGTCGTTCTTCAACCGGCAGTCGTGATTAATTAATGAATAAGGCAGTTCTGTTAAATTACAGAAAAGTCCTCGCCAAAGATGGGTGCAATCTCGCTTACTGTAAGTAAGGGTTGAATTAAAACTATAGGGATCTTGCATGCATTTTATATACAACCATGGCGCTCTTTAGATTGTGGGGTTTTATTTTATTTTATTAAAAATGGATGCAAGAGAAATTTTTGAGGGAAAGAAAAAAATAGTGAATTAATTGAAGTTCAATTGGTTAAGGGGGCGACAAAAACTTAGAGTGGGTCGGTCTTTGCCCCCACACCCATGTGATTTGGGGTCGGGTTGGTGTGGGGAATAATATTGTTTTTAAGGTTGGAATTGCATTGTCTATGGTTGTCACGATTTTTTAGTTTTTAAAAATTATTAAAGGTTAATTAATAAAAATACTTGATAGCACAGGAGCTGATAGGTACGTAACTTATCGAACTCCTTTCTTATTAATACCAACTTCCCAAAATTTATCGAGGGCTTTAAAAGCTGATTTTGATTTTGGCATAGGAATAAGCTACACAGAAAAAATATTTAAAAAAAATCCTTCGGGATGAAATGAATTTTGTGATTTATCTCAAAATTACTATTAAACCTTTAAAAAAATCTACAAAAAAAAATTATATATATATATTTAGACGAAAAATAGCTAAAATTTTATTTAAAAATACTCTATAATAATGTTTTAAAAAATCCTTTTTAATATCTTTAAACTTTGTAAAAGAACTTTAAAAACGTACATTTTAAACTTTTTAATTTTTTTTAGTAAAAATGTTAATACTATTTTTAAAATTTGATGAATACTTTTACACGTATAAATATATATACTTTTTAACAAAACAATATTTTTTTATTAATTTAATTAAATTTGTATTTTTAAATTATTAGTTTATTTAATAAACTGCATTTATTTTTGGATTCTACTTGCCGTTTGGCTTCTTACACGTGAGGATTTAATATTGCAATTGTAATAACTAGAAGTACATTGGTTTTTTTTTTTTTTTTTTTTCCAATTAATGGAGGTTGAGAAATTATTTTGTTATTTAATGTAATAAATAACGAAGTAGAATCTTCCTCTTTCCTTCGAATTTAGGTGCAACAATTAATTTCTACATTAAAAATAATTAAGTCTTCTTTGTCAAAATAATAACAATAATTACTGTTATTCTTCTGTATCCTTTAACTCAAAAAAGGAAAATTAATTGTTTTTTTTTAATAATTTAACTCAACTACTCGTGTTTAAATAATATTCTGAAATTTTTCCTAAAACAGCAAAATATGGAAGACAAGCTTATATATATGAAAAATTAATATCGATACTCTAATTATAAATATAAGTATTGAGGTATTCGACTCTAACCTTTTTATATATGTGTAACATGATGGTCCATTCGAGTATAGCAAATAAATAAGATATTGATTATTGTCGATTTGTTTCGTCTCCCTGTCATCCCTCGACTTGCCAACCTTTTTATGTATCTATGACCATCTCTTATGGTTTGGGATCAACTCAACTAGCGGGTACGTGGTTGGAGTTCAAAAGTATTAGCTCCAGACTAAATAAACAATGCACTTTGATTGTCAGATGATCGATGCGATGACATGAAATAGTCACTCATCTCATCAAATAGATCTATCACACGTATCTTGGAAAGCAATATAAAATCGAGGGTCTACACCCATTCAAAAGGTACACAAATCTTCACATATGCTCAACTCTCAGCTACCTCGACATGCCATTAACTTAAGCATTAGAGCGTGTGGGGCCACAACGCCAGGTACTAGAATCCTATCTTGCAATTCTATAAGTCGTGATTCACACCACTCACGATTAACCAAGCTTGTGAACAAAAATCCAATAAACATTTGATGTTGTTTGTTAGGAACGAGACAAGCAACTCACTAACTTCTCTCTTTCCTATGTAGATCGCACGAAATACGTCACGCGTTTAAGACTTGACCATGAGCGTGAGAGTGATGATGAGAGACATCGAGTCAAAAACGATCAAGACCCAACATGAAACTGCACAAACAAGATCTCACTCTTCTTGTTATAGGGACTCATTCTTCTCGTTAAAATTATAACAACAGATTCAAATTTTCTTAAAAATTATTATTTAATTAATGGTATATTATGTGACATTAATATAGTACAAATTAAAATAGTTTTTTTTAATCTAATGGATTAAAATAAATATTAAAAAATTTAAATATCAAAATAATTATGTTTAAAAGTGAGGCTAAATTAGTCAGTTTACAAATTCTAGAAATGGCAATACTAACAGACTTGAAATGACCCTCGTTTCTTTTTCAGTCGAGAAAATGTCAAGATAATATTTAAACCTCCCTTTCTATATATATACATGTATTATTAAAAGTGATTGAAAAAATAACTAAATTATAAAAAATTATAATCTTATTTGATTTTTAATTTTTAATTTTTTAAAATTTGATTTATAAATAATAAAGTTATTAACCTTAAAAATATTAAATTTGAAAATTTAAATGTATTTTCGGGAGTGAATTTATTATGGAGAATACACAAAATTTTAATTATTTTTTAAAAATCAAACGATTATTGACAAAATTTTTAATTATTTAAGAGAAATTCGCGTAATTCGCGCAATTTAGAAAATAATATTTGAAATATTAAAAAAAAAGTCAAATCAAAAGGTGACAAAGCAAAAACCAAAATATAAAATTTGCCAATAAATTAATTTCTTAATTCTCAATCTGCCGCCAGAAAAAATATAATAACAATAATAATAATAAAAAGATAAATGAAGAGAGAGAGAGAGGAAGAGAGAGAGAGTGAGAAAAAAAAGGCGCCGGTGAACTCCGGAAAATGGGAAAATTATAAAAAATTTGAACTGTATAAAATGTCGTCAAACCGAAACCAAATCGGGAATGGCGATCACAAGATCTGTGGAACAGTGAAAACAACAAACGACCCACTGCGGAACTACCGTCTCAATTCTCAACGACAACTACGACCCATCATCGACTTCTTGGAGGCTAAAGGATCATTGGAGAACGACCCACCCTCCGACATTATACCCAATCTTGAAGTAAACGCGTTCTCTTCTCTTTTTTCCCTCTTCTCTTTCGTCTTCTATATCACGGGGAGTGTTGGATCTTTGCCCAACTAGCCAACTCTGGTTTATTTTCTCTCTAATGTTATCCCAGATGTGCTAGCCTCTCGTTTCTGCATCTGATTACGCTTGTGTGTTCGTGGTATGTGTCATTCTCGATCTACATTTCCGCTTCAGGGGATTTTCCGATTTTCTTTTGCTATTTTTGTTGCTTGGAGTTTGGGACTTTGTGTATTTCTATGTAAGGCGTTGTATTCCTTTTTTGATCAATTTGATTTTGCCAGTTTTTAACAGGGATCTCGAATGGAAGATTCGGAGGGAATCAAGCCCGGCCAGGTACAATTTGTCTCCCTGAAATCGTTTTTAATTACTTCTTTGTTGACCAGATTAGTCGTTGAGGAGTTTTTGTTTCTATAAACTGAATGAACAGTGAGTTCCTTGTTTTCAGATTCTGCTTAGTTGTGTAATTGGCCATATATGCTACCGTAATTGTTAATGTTATTGGACGAGGAACTATTCTGTCTATGGACTCAGTTGATGGTAGTAACAATGTTTGACAATTTGCAGTTATGGTTTGACTTTTTGATTAATGTGAATTCTCCGCTTAATTTCTTCATCTCACAAACGAAATCAATGTATTTATATTGAATTTGGCGCGAAATTAGTTTAGATGCCACATGAAGAAGAAACTAATTATGGAAACAGTGCAAACTATGCAACATGAACATACACTAAAATCAATCCTTCCTGTATGTTTATGTTTATTTGTTGTTTTCTTTTCATGCGGCACTTAATTTTGTTAGTGATATCAAAAGTTGTTATATTTCAGGTTTCTTTTCTGCTGGGCGTGATTCCAATTTTTGTTGCGTGGGTATACTCAGAGTTTCTGGAGTATCAGAAGGCTCCACCTATTATTAAAGTGTGAGTAGTTTTCTTCGATGTGCACCGTGGATGGTGATATAAATTGGCTAATTTATTCTTGTAATGCTGAGCTAGAACTTATTCTTGTAATGCTGAGCTAGAACTTATTCTTTCTTTGCCACCAATTTTGAATTTATTGAATAAGCTAATACATTTGTTAGATCTGCTAGTTTTATTGAGTCTTCTGGTCGTCGAGCTCTAAATTTATCGCTTTATTTGATTACAGTCATTCAGACATTAATCTTGTTGAATTGGATGAGGAGAAAGGAGATAAAGTTAAAGATGACGAGGCTTCTCTACTGGAAGGAGGCCTTGCGAGATCAGCCTCTGCAAAGTTGCACAGTTCATCGATTAAAACAAACTTAATTAGGTCATTTCCCATTGCCTGCTATATTGCTTTACCTCTTTTTCTCACACACACACACACACACACACACATCAAATATCATCCTTCCTTCTTAAACTTTTGTAACTTAGGTTTTTGACATTGGATGAATCCTTCTTGCTGGAAAATCGAGCTACATTGCGAGCAATGTAAGTTGTTAAGTAAGTATTTTGGTGGGAAATGACACAAAAAATTGATAGCTTACAACCACATACTTGTTGATCATCATTTGTAGGTCTGAATTTGGGGTGATTCTTGTATATTTCTACATATGCGACCGCACAAATATACTGGGAGATTCTACGAAGGTGCTTGAACTTGATCTTGCCTCTTGTCCTATCGATACCAATATCTGGATTTTTATTGCACTCCGTTATATGAGGCTATCTAAATATATTTATGGTAGTTTTAAGTCATGGAAGTGCACCATAACTTTATAACACTGGTGATGCAAGCTTCTCTGTGGTACATTTTTCAACTACCATAAACTCAGACTAAATGTTCTGTAACTGATCATACAGATTAACTATCAGAGTTTGGCTTTTCAATTCTTTCTTGGTCCATTTTCGATTCTCTCCTCCCTCCCATCCAACTTTTCTTCTGTACTTGATGCACATATTTTTGTACGATACAGAATTAAATAGGGACTTGATTTCAACCACTTGTCTTTTTTATACATATCCATATAACTGACAGATTTCTCATATTACTATGTTTTTTAGATAACAAGAAAGGAATCTTAACATACTTATTGATAGATGCTCCTGATGGAATTCAGTTTAGTCAGCTAATTATCAATGGTTTTGTCTTGAGCAGAATTACAATCGGGATCTCTTCCTCTTTCTCTACATCCTTCTCATCATTGTTTCCGCAATGACCTCTTTGAAGAAACACAATGATAAATCAGCATTTTCTGGAAAGGCAATACTTTACCTGAATCGGCATCAAACAGAGGAATGGAAAGGGTGGATGCAGGCAAGTTCTATACAATAAAGATATGACCTGTAATCAAATAACTTTACAAACCATGGGAGCAAATTTAAGTACTCAATATGAGGGGCTAATGCTATTTATCATTGATTCTTCATCATTTCTTTAGCAGTTGTAGGTGTCAAAAGATGTATATCTTTCCATAACTTAAAACATATTTTTAGTTGTCAGTTTTTATTTTTTCGACTAGACCCTATAGGTATACAAAAATGAAGAATGTAGGATGATTAATCTGGTTGTTTTCACATCTCTTCTATATGATTTTCAACTTTTGTAAGATCATTTTAGATGTAGTGTTGGGATCTTTAAAATTACAAAGTTAAGGAATAGGTATACCTTGAAGAGAAACTTCCACGTGATTAGAAAAAAATAATATACTCTAATTGTGGGACTTAGAACTTCCATATTTGTTTGATTTGAAGTAACCTTGCTTCTGAGTAGTTTTAGCTCGTGCTTGTTTCTCTCCTTTGTACTAATTGTTACATGCCGATCAGCTTCTTGTGCTTCCAACATTATAATTGCCTTTACACTTTTTTGGGTTCTTGCAGGTTCTTTTTTTAATGTACCATTATTTTGCTGCAACGGAAATTTATAATGCTATTAGGATATTTATTGCTGCTTATGTGTGGATGACTGGATTTGGCAACTTCTCCTACTATTATATTAGAAAGGATTTTAGCTTGGCACGCTTTGCTCAGGTGATTTTCCCTCCTTCCCTCTCTCTCTCCCCGTTGTTTTTTCGTTTTTAAATAAATAAAAAAAGGCACTTGATAATTGTTTCACCAACCAAGTTTTTTTTTTCTGGAACTTCCTCCCTGAACTCCAAGGATACCCGTTACTAACAGTGCTTGACATTTTCTAATTTGTGATGCAGATGATGTGGCGGTTAAATTTCTTTGTCGCATTTTGCTGTATTGTTCTTAACAACGACTACATGTTGTACTACATCTGTCCAATGCATACACTTTTCACCCTCATGGTGTACGGAGCTCTTGGAATCTTTAACAAGTACAACGAGATAAGATCAGTCATGATTACAAAGATTCTTGCCTGCTTCCTTGTGGTTATTGCAGTTTGGGAAATTCCTGGAGTTTTTGAGATAATCTGGAGTCCATTAACGTTCCTTTTTGGTTAGTTTTTTTTTCTTTTTTCCTTTTTCTATATTTTATTTTGACAGATAAAGTTAGTTGCCATTCAACTGTTTCTAGATTTTTTTCATTCATGGCATATAAGTTATTAGTGTGTGAAGGTACTAAGTTGGTAGATATCAAGTGGAATGACACTAAATTAAGTTGGTATTTTTTTCATTCTTTTCTTCTCTCTCTCTCTCTCTCTCTCTTTTTTATTTAAAAAAATTAAATTAGAACTAAGTCCTTTCTGAGAATACACTAAAAGGAAAAAGAAAAATAATTGTCCAAACACATTTTCGCTTTCCATATATGGGTTGGTTAACTGGTTATTTTTGTGCTTTAATGTTAAGTTTATCAAGTGAATTGTGTAACTTATGGAACGTGGATAATTTGGTTGTTCAAAGACATATATAGTTGTGAAGTGCCCCTTTATCTGCTGACCTGACAATGTGCAAGTATAATGATTGTTTTTCTTTTCTTTTTTTATTTTATTGACAGGGTATACCGATCCGGCAAAACCTGATCTCCCCAAACTGCATGAATGGCATTTTAGATCTGGTCTGGATCGCTATATCTGGATCATCGGCATGATCTATGCATACTATCACCCCAATGTAAATTAGTAAACTTTTGATGACATCAGAGTTTCATAGATCTTGCTTCCTCGGTTCTCTCAGAAATTGACTTTTAAGTGCTCTCAAATTCCAGGTTGAAAAATGGATGGAGAAGTTGGAGGAGGCTGAAACAAGGAAGAGAATTTCGATCAAGACAAGCATTGTTACCGTTTCTGTATTAGTAAGTGGCATAATTTGGAGGCTTTAACTTCTTTGGTTTGATAATCTGTTTTCATACTTTCTGTCAAATAGATCTTATTCTGCTTTCCATGATTAGGCTGGTTATATGTGGTACGAGTACATTTACAAGCTGGACAAGGTGACTTACAACAAATATCACCCTTACACATCATGGATTCCTATCACGTGAGTGTTGAATATAATATGTTTACCTCAATCAATATTGTTGTCGTTTTTTGTTTCATCCTCCCTAGATGGCTGGCAAATTTGGAATTTGGGTGTATGGAAGTTACCACTATCTTAATGTTTCTTTTTGCCTTATGTGGTCACAGTGTTTACATTTGCTTGCGAAACTTTACACAGCAATTGCGAGGCTACTCTTTGACCCTCTTTGCGTACGTATTTCTCTGATACCTGCCAACGATAAAGCTCAGTTCTGATTGCGTTAATTCTCATTTTGCACATTCATTTATTTGCCTATTGTATTGTTAGGTGGCTTGGCAAGATTACATTGGAGACGTATATTTCACAGTTCCATATATGGTTGAGGTATGTTAAGATGGTTTTATAACTACGCTGTCATTCTCCTTTTTCACCCAAGTCTATAATCTTAATCAAAACCTGGAAGATGCGTGTACTCTACCTTCAGCCCTTTATTACAGACAACTTACGTTAGTTCATAAATTCTTAATTTGATGTATTTAAGAAGTTACTGCTGAAACCATCCTTCGTTTTGTTTTCAAAAAAGAACTCACTGAATGGATGAATATATTTTAAGGAATAGAAAATGTACGTGGTGATTTTGTTCCATTATATCTTCAAGTTTGTACATTGGTATTTAAATTTCCTGCTTACTATATTACAAAGAAATGGCTTCAGGTTTTCCTGCCCTTCTTTCCCCATGCACCATAATTAACATTTATTTGCTTGGCTCTACTATGTACGGCTAATTGACCATATCGTCATCAAATAAATAAAATGCCAGTTGCATTTGAAATACAAAACCTGAAATGGTATTTCATAATTGGGGCATTGGCTCGACTATAAGAAAAAATATCGAGTGAAAACTTCTTGGGAATGTTTCATTGTGTAATATTTTATTGTAATTGCAGTCTTTTTTGTGGTTGTACAGATCGAATGTGTCTAATGGACAGCCAAAGTGGCTTCTGTCGATCATTCCAGACTACCCGATGCTCAACTTCATGCTGACAACTGCTATCTATGTCATAGTAAGAACGTTCTCAGTCAAAAATCTTCTAGGGCCAAATACTCTCGATCAATCTGCATCATTTATCATTTATATTTTTTCTGCTTTGCAGGTCTCCCTTCGGATTTTTGAGTTAACCAATACTCTAAAGACAACTTTTGTACCTACAAAAGATAATAGACGGTTGTTGCATAATTTCCTTGCCGGAGCTGCAATTTCTGTATGTCTATACTGCATCTCGCTGGTTGTTGTTTTGATCCTTTATTAAAATGGTAAGCCCCTTTGTGACCTCTTATTCTCTAACCCAGAAGGGTTGGAATTTGGCCTTCTTCAATACTGATTTTAGTACACTGACATCATATGCTTAATAATTAGAACTAGAGCAGCTAATCAGTGATATCCTGCAAACTCAGTACTGTTAAATTAATTTTACAGGGCAAACTAGTGAAGACTGAAGAGACATATAGAAAGGAATTATATTGAATTTTTGCCTCTCGATCAAAAGGGAAGACTTTATTAGAGGGGCGTTGCTGTTGCTTGCAGATAGATTACTAAAACAAGAACTCTGGCAGTTGAGGGGAAAACCCCCCTTCAATTTCTATCATTTTGGATGATGAGCTAGGTACCAATTGTGTCCCCCTGGAGTTTCGTAGAGCCCTCGAATTTCGTAGGTATAAGAAAAAGGAAAGTTTTGTAATATTGTGATCAATGTATCATCTCATTCTTTTTGTTATCCCATCCCCACCTCAAATTAGTGAAGAAAATGACGGTTCCTGTGCATAGAGATGTATCTGATGCTCAACTGAACTTTTTTATTATTTCTAATGCATTCATCATTTTCACTTATTTCTCCTCTCCTGCAAGTAAATAGATTCGTGCCCCTTGTGACGACGTCGATTCAGGTGCTCGAGTTCATGACGTAGCTTTTGTGGCTATGTCAAGCTTTCGAACTCGACTGCAGGCCTTCCTTCAATTATACAAGTAATGTTTTATTATTGTTGATTTGTTGAGTAGTTTCAATGTTCAAAACTCATTTTCCATTGGCATCTTATTTCTAGAAGGATAATACTTCATCTACTGAGTGGTCACCGAAGTATCGTTGACAAATTTGACAAGAAAGAAAGGCAGGAAAAGGAGACAGTTTTTTCCCTATTTTTTAAAATTAAAAACTTATTCTTTCTTAGCTAAATTTACTAAACCATTTAATTAAATTTGAAAATTGGTCCGTTTCTCTTAATTTGATTTATTAACAAATAAATGTGGAAGAGGAATTTCAATTTTAATTGACAAATAAGGATATTTTTTTTGCAAGTCATCCAAACTTGAATGCTTGCCGCTTGCTTCAAAAAGCATGAGCATCAGTACCGTTGGATTGAGATAAGGTTTGCGATGCGACGCAGATACTACTGTATGTTGGAGTGGTGTGCACGCACGTGCGGCAGAGAAGTTTCTCACGTATAATGTATTCGCGCTCTGTACATCTCTGTGCACTTTTTTTCCATCTCAAGTTTCTCGCTGTTATACATTGGGAGTTGAAATGAACTGAACTCCCGCCGAACTCTTGGATCTCTTTCTCTCTATCGCTACTCTGCTCAGGTATCTGTTCTCCTCCATTTTCTAAGTAAAGCTCTATGGAAATGAAGTCTTGGCGAAGCAATTGGTTGTATAATATTCTATCCTTCTTTCTTTGAGTATGTGATGATACTGAGGCTTTGAGATAGCAGGGATAACTTGTGGTTATTGGAAGTTTAAGCGTAATGGCTACGAAGCTCTCGACGTTGTTTCTGAGCTCTGGATTTGGTTCTTTGAGCGGAAAACTATCGGATAATTCACAGTTTCCTCACTCTTCCCGTTACTTGCTTAATGCTTCATGTAAAATGCGACCTCGCAATCTCAGGTTCTTTCTCAATGTTTTCTCCTTTGCCTTTTAATCTTGTTGCTTATTTATTTCGTCGTCTGTAATTGCCATGGTACGTTAAGGTTTTGAACTTGTTCGACTCTCCGTTGTGTCTTGTTAATCTGTTTCCACTGGATTTTCTCTTGACTCTTTTGGATTCTTGATTTTCACGTACGTTTTGTTTTCTAACTCACCTTTCTTGATTTTTTTTAACTTTATGTATTTTTTTTTCAACTGTTTATCTTTTTTTTTTATTTATCAATTTTAACTTTTCTAATTAACAGGTTGTTATCGAGTTGATGTTTTGATTTTAGTCATATGAACTACATATTGAATCGAGGCAAATAGGAGAATGTTTGATGTTCCGTCTAGGATATTTTAGAGGTTAGCCTTTGTATGCTTTATGATCTCTAGGCGGAGTTCCAAGCCAATAGTTTCTGTAATTATTATCTTTTTCTCTCTCTCTCTCTCTCTTTTTTTTTTTTTGTTTAAATTCAATTCTATTGGAGAAGTTCTCCTACCTCGAACTAGAGCTAATACACACACACATATATATATTGAGATGAAAGGAACGGTTGACTTTCGTTGTGTCTGTCTGTTTGTCTAAATGCAATGGATACAAGGTTTACCCCAATTTCTTGGAAATTCTACATTCAGTTAATAGCATGAAAATTCTGTACAGTTCCCGGCGCAAGAGGAAACAATTGAAGAAAGCCTCCTATGAACATTTGTCAGTGCAAGCTGATTTTCATCCAAATGATGACGAGGACTCTGAAACTGAAATTGTGGTGGAGAGGGTTCCAATTTTGAATCAGGAGAGCTTGTCTAGTGCTGTTGTCAACACTAGCTTAGCTGTGCAGCATGTTAGCGAGAAAGGAATAAGTGGTCTAACTGCACCTGGTGAAACTGAACCTTCGGTAAAGTAACTGCACTGTCCTCATATTTACCTCTTTGGTCTTCCAATGAAATTGCTGCTAGAGAGGTGGAAGAACCTTCTGAAAAACGTTTGATTTCTTGAGCCATGTATTGATTTTATTAGGAAGTAATATAAGATTCTGATGATGGTCCTAGATTAGGTTATTTTCAAGGTTGTTAATGCTGTTCAATCAAATGTTATTCCCTACTTCCCTCTGTTTTCTTGAATTTGTCTCTCTTCTAAGAATCTTCATTTATATTAGTTTCTCTTATAAGGATCTTCATATTGTCTTGTCTGGACATGTAACAACTTTAGCAGACAATTGAATATAAGTCTTCTGAAATTTCAGACCGAGAAAGTTGACATTGAAGGACCGAATACAGGTGTTCAACTTGAAGATTTGATTGGGATGATAAAAACTGCAGAGAAAAGTGGGCTTTCTTTCCTTTTAATCCCAAAAAATTTTATTTGGTTATGCCCATTCTATTACCTGCTGTATACAATTGTGGTTCTTATCTCGCAGATATCCTTCTACTCAACCAAGCTCGGGTTCATGCCCTGAAAGATCTTGAAAAGATCCTTGCTGAAAAGGAGGAATTGCAGAGAGAGATCAATGGTTTGGAAAGGAGATTGGCAGAAACGGATGTTCAAATTAAAGCGGATGACCAAGAAAAGGTACACGTGGAGCTGTTGGAAGACCAATTTGAAAAGTTGCAGAAGCAGCTAAATTTCAGTGGTGGTACTGAACGCAGCGACCTTGGTCTGCATGGAAATCAGAACAATGTTCTTACCGATTCTCTTACTAAGGAGCTTCATTTACTGAGGTCAGAAAATGTCATCCTGAAGAATGATGTACAAACACTCAAGGAAGAGTTGAGTAATGTTAAGAATGCCAATCAGCATCTGGTATTTTTGGAAAAAGAACGGTCAGTTTTGGAGGGTTCGCTGAAAGACTTGGAGCTTAAGCTGTCAACCTCTCAGGAAGATGTTTCAGATCTGTCTGCCTTGAAAGTTGAATGCGAGGACTTGAGGAAGAGGGTAGAAGATTTGCAAATCTTGCAAGACAAGGCAACCAAGCAGGAAGAACAAGCTATTCTGGTCTTGCAACATAACCAAGAGCTCCAAGAAAAGGTTGAGAAATTGGAAGAATCCCTTGAAGAAGCTAACGTCTTAAAATTGTCTTCAGAAAAGTTTCGGCAAGACTATGAACTCATGCAACAAAAAATAGATCTATTGGAGGATCGCCTTCAAAGGTCTGATGAAGAATTGCAGTCTTATATCAAATTATATCAGGAATCTGTGGAGGAGTTTCAAGATACACTGGATACCATCAAAGAAGCAAGCAAGAAAACAGCAGTAGATGAGCCTGTAAATGATATGCCTTTGGAGTTTTGGAGCCGTCTATTGCTATTGATCGATGGTTGGTTACTTGAAGGGAAAATATCGGATGAAGATGCTAAACTGTTGAAAGAGATGACATGGAAGAGGGATGCACGCATTTATGATGCTTATATGGCTTGCAAGGAAAAGAATGAACTTGAGGCCGTGGCTATCTTTCTTAATCTGACATCATCTCCTAAACGGTATAATAACTGTAACTTAGCATATATTGACTTAGATGAAAATGTTGTTTAATCAGTATTCTTGTTATCTTTAGTTCAGGACTCTATGTCATCCACATTGCAGCAGAAATGGCACCAGTGGCTAAGGTGAGTTGTCGCTAGTGCAATAGCTCTTGGGTTTTATTAATGTTAATTTTTTGTTATGTTTGAAGATCCTCTTGCTCTCTTCTAGGCTTTCAATATTTCAATGTGTCCTCCTTCCGTCTATCACCATTTGTTTTAGTCTATCTCTTATCACAGCTAACAGGGTAGGAATTATCCTTATTGTTGCAATAGAACGCAACATGTCAAATTTCTCCCGAGGGTGGGGTGGTTGGGGAGGGATCTTTTACTACACATTCTTTATTTATATTTTAACTAAGTTGTTTTTGCACTTTGTTTTCTGTTCGTGCAAATAAAATACCGCATCCTTTATTTGGTTTTTTATATTATATGTTAAGAGTAAAAGTAGTTCATGAAATGACATTCCTTTTGCAGGTTGGTGGTTTGGGTGATGTCATCACTGGTCTCAGCAAAGCGCTGCAAAGGAGAGGGCATCTTGTGGAAATTGTTCTTCCTAAATATGATTGCATGCAGTACAATCGTATTAAAGATTTAAGGGTATGCCATGATTTCAGAAGTATAAACCTAATGAACGAATAAGCGTTGCTAATGTGCTATTTTGGTGTTTTTATTAATATGTTAAGAGTACTTTGATTGCTTTACAGCTCCTGGATATGGTGCTTGAGTCGTACTTTGATGGGCGGTTGTTCAAAAATAAGATATGGGTTGGCACTGTTGAAGGTCAATATTTATCTGGTCTAAATTTTTATTTAATTAATTATTTTTTAAAATTAAATGTGTCAATTTAACCTCTGCAGGCCTTCCCGTTTACTTTATTGAGCCTCATCATCCTGATAAGTTCTTCTGGAGAGCTCAGTATTATGGGGAGCATGATGACTTTAAACGTTTTTCATATTTCAGCCGTGCTGCACTTGAGTTACTCCTACGGGCTGGCAAGAGACCTGATATAATACATTGCCACGATTGGCAAACAGCATTCATTGTACGACTTTAATGTCTGTTGATCATTCAATCTTTTGGCAACTGACTTTATTTGCTTTTTCAGGCTCCATTATATTGGGATTTGTACTACCCGAAAGGATTGAATTCTGCAAGAATTTGTTTTACTTGCCACAACTTTGAGTATCAAGGAACCGCCCCTGCTTCAGATTTGGCTTCTTGTGGCCTTGATGTTGACCAGCTAAACAGACAAGACAGATTACAGGATAATTCTGCTTATGATAGGATCAACCCTGTTAAGGTATGGTATTCAGAATATTTTCAATCTCCTTGTTTATTAGGAGAATTTTATGATGGACACTGCGTTGTCTCAGGGTGCAGTTGTCTTCTCTAATATTGTCACAACAGTATCACCTACCTATGCTCAAGAGGTGCGGAGAGCTGAGGTATGATTTGCATTTAAGATATCTTATATCACTCATATCAATGAAGGGTTTTCTTTGGATGACCGTGTCAATCAAAGATTTTATTGGTTCATTGCTATGATTTTTGCTTAACTATCATAAAGCGTACCAAATTGTCTTTGATAGGAATCTGTTTTCGTGGGAGAATTGTACGTGACTGTGTATCATTATGTTCAGTATGTTTATGTTAGTGCTTTGGAATTTACTCTTAACCTTTTCAATAACGAGCGTCTTGACATTTGTACTTTTTCGACGGATTACCATAGGCCAATTTTCAACCTTGCAACTCACCAACTTGTCCATTTCTTTGGCCTCAAATCGCTGCAATTTATCTCCACAAGACTTGATTTGGGAAGTTATCATTATGGCCCAATTTGAGATTTTAATGATTCTAAAATCAACTGCAAATATTTTCCGTTGGGGGTGAGAATAGACCAAAATTGAAGTTGATTACTGCGAGGGAGCTTCTTCCCTATTTGAACCTTTTCTCCATTCTCACCTCAAGTCATCTTGTCAGCATTCTGCTTCCTCGCAGTGAATATAGGTTTGATGATTTCAAAATAAAATTTTGGGATAAACATGCCTGCTTGTTCTCATATTTTTAGGAGGGGTAACTTCTCTAATTTACCCTAAATAAAGAGTGTAATCACAACTTGATGTTTAAATTGTTTGGATTTTTTTTTTTTTTTTTTGTTACTACCACAAAAGAGTGTTTGAAACATCCCTTGCCTATTTGTGGTCAACTAAGTTGTTCGTAGGGTCATATGCTTGCCTTGATTATCGGGGCTTGGAAACCACAATTTTCTGAACTGTCTGGGCTCATTAATGGGATTAGGTTGGATGATACACTTAGTTGTCGTAAGGGGAAGGGGGTTACCAGGAGAAATCAAATCGTGATTATATTTATATCCCGGGAGCTGGACAGAAGTAAAAATTATTTTCCTATCTTCTTCTTCTCGATCAGTGAAGGTCAAAAGAATTTCTCACTTATTTTATTTAGCGTACTTGACAACCAGAATTCAATTAAGAAGACTTGAGAATGTAATTTAAATCACTTTTGACTTTTCCAAACTGAAAAACTCAAGAAGATAACCTCTAGCAAAATTTAGTTCACATCTTGCATGCCTGATAAGATGTATACCCTTCTGTGGGGAGGGTGGAATCATAGACAGTTTAAATGAACCACTTATTCTTTCTTTAATGATGTATTTTTTATATTTCGCATAGCTCATGTGCTTAGGAAGTGTTTAATCAGATTACTGTCTTTTGGTTTAAAGTTTTTGTCTTCCGGGGCACTGAGATTGACATCCATTGGGCTACAGGGAGGACATGGTCTCCACTCAACGCTTAATTTTCATTCGAAGAAATTCTTTGGCATTCTTAATGGAATTGATACTGATGTGTGGAATCCTACTACCGATTCATTTATCAAAGTCCAATATAATGCAAATGATCTTGAGGGTAAGGCTGAAAATAAAGATGCTATAAGAAGGCATCTAGGGCTGTCTTCCATTGTCAGAAAACCTCTGGTAATTACTTTTTATGAGACAATAAGTTATGTATCTGGTGCTTTCTGATTTCAAATATTTTGTAGCTTCCTTTTGTTTAATGTTTAATCTAGGATTTATTTGTGCTTAATTTTGAACTTTAAGACTGACATAATGTTACCTGGCATATATGCGCATCTTATATACATTTTCCCCCTAGTGTTGAGTAAACTGAAGCCTCCCTTCACCCTTTAGGAATTTGAGCTGATTACAGATTACAGTTGTGCAGTGGGATTTATTAATTGTATTCAGATCAACTTTTTATGACCACTTCTGAATGTGTATCTGTTATTCTGATTTCATGCTATCAATCGCATGCAGCGAAGATATTTATAATTTAGATTACGATTTGGAACAAAATCATTGTTCTTTTTTTTTTCTTTTCTTTTTTAATTAAATTGAAACAGTTTAGTAGCTGAGATATGACTCCTAATCTGCTCTTAGTTTCATTTCTGGTTTTCCAGACATTGGAGCAGTGGCGTAGGCTGCATAATGAAATTGGAGATTTTGTGGATTTTATTAAAATATTTGTTGTGCAATAGGTGGGCTGCATAACAAGATTGGTGCCCCAGAAGGGTATACATCTTATCAGGCATGCAATATACAGAACGTTGGAGCTGGGAGGACAGTTTGTTCTTCTGGGTTCAAGCCCAATTCCTCATATTCAGGTTATCTACTTGAACTTTTGAGCCTATGTTAGATTTTCGAGAACACATGTCACTAGGGCCCCTTGCACCCATCTTACGATTGCTTTTTTGTTCTTGCAGAGGGAATTTGAGGGTATTGCTAATAATTTCCAGAGCCATGATCAAGTTCGGTTGGTGTTGGCATATGATGAGTCTCTTTCTCATTGGATTTATGCGGGATCTGATATGTTAATAATTCCATCTATCTTTGAGCCATGTGGCCTCACTCAGGTAAATGGTTGCAGATGTGGCTTAGTTTGAGCTTTTTTTAACCAAAAACTAAGAGGGCTATCCTAGGAGCTGGTAAATAATAAATAGTTTTATGGGAAATTGGATCAAACTAGGGTAACCACTTGCATAGGATAAATTGTCCTACGTTTTTCTTGGCAACTAAACTTATTAGAGTCTGGCAACTCTCTTTTGAGTTTAGTTGTAAAATTGGTCCAAACACTAAGGATTGAAAAAACTATTGATATTTGAAAAGGAATATTACAATACATCTTCCCAGCAAAGAAATATCCCTAAATATAGTTTCAGAAAGGCGCTTATCAGTGATTATTAGAAAGGCACATAACAAGATGGATTACGTTGGTTGAATTAATAATTCTTTAGAAACCAGAAAGAACAATGCAAGACGCCAAGAAGCTGCCATTAATAATCTACTTTCCTCCCAAGCAATTTGTTTGCTTTCAAAGATGAGTTGATTTCTTTCTATTCATATTCCCTTTTAACTTGCTTTGACTACACTAGTCCACAATAATTTAGCAATCTTTTTCATCCCATGACCACATAGAATTATAATAGCATTCTCTTTAACTCCCTAGTCGAAAACAAGAACTGCCAAAGCCTTGAAATTTTGCCTTCCAAATTTTCCTAATATAGCCAACTAGGAAACGACAACTGATTGGGACTTTCCTCTGTCTTCCAATACAAACTGCAGCAGCTTGGATTTATTGCCATATAAGGGTATCTTTGGATTCTTTTAGCCTATTCAACCCATCCAAGAAGATTAAGCCCACAAAGTTATTCATCCACTTTACAAGGGAATTTAGATGTCCACAAATTATGAAAGAGTTTCTCAGGTAACGAAGGAAAATATCTACCCAATGTTTAAACATGGATTTTGTTAGGAAACTGGCCAGACCAGTTACCAATTTCGTAAGGGTCTTCTCTTCTGCTAATTAGTACACCCTCAATCAATTGTAAAAGATCATAACCATTTTTTCTTACCGTTACTTTTCAAGATCTTGAATTTTCCTCCCAAGCTTCTAACCCTGAATGTCTTTTTCTCAGAAGTTTCGTAGATTTTGAGGAATTCATTAGCAGTACCACCAAACATTTTGGGTATAATAAGAATCCAAATTTTCTTAGAGAATTTATTCGCAAGTCTCTGGGACCTGGGGACTTTAACCCTTCCACATTTCCCATGTCAGAAAAATTTTCCTCCTCTCTCCCACTATTTTCTATTCCCATCTTCCTTCCTGTAAACTTTTTGCGACAAATAAGGATTTCATATACAAATAAGGATCTCACCTAAAAAGCCAAAACCATAACCTCCGACTTTTGCCTCGTCCCACCACCCAATATCAGTAGAGCCATAAATAGATTTAACAACACTATTTTTCACCTCTTTAATTTTGTTTCTTTAATCATTAACCATCATAGGTCAGCCTAGTGCCTTGAAAAAATGAGAGAGAACGGGTTCAATCCATGGTGGCCCCTATCTAAGATATAACATCTTACGTATTTTTTATCAACCAAATATAATAGGGTTAAGCAGGGAAGATTAGTCAAGGTGCCCATAAGCTCTTCTAGACACTCATCGATATCTAAAAACAAAAGGTTGATCTTTTCAATAGTATTGCTTTCTTGCTATAATCTTCCAAGTCCCCTTGGTGTTGTAGATACTCTTAGCTTCTAATGCTACCCAAAAACAGAAGATAGTCTTCCATGCTTATGATGAAGTTTTTATTGACTATGTTTTACTTCTTTTGTGGCGCTTTGACAAATAATATGTTGACCTAGTTAGAATGTGATGACACTTCTTTGAGGCTTTACCAACTTTGTACCTTCGTTTTTTTTAGATGATTGCAATGCAATATGGTTGTATTCCTATTGTACGGAAAACTGGCGGCCTGAATGACAGGTGCATGAACTTATCTTGTAACAATCTCCACATATTCAAGTTTATTTCATCAGAACTTTTTGTGTTTTAATGGTTCGATGTTTTTCATGCAGTGTCTTTGATGTTGACGATGATACAATTCCAGCTGAGTTGCGAAATGGATACACATTTTTGACCCCTGATGAGCAGGTACGAAAACGGAAAATGAAACATAAATCTGTTCTTTTATTGTATGATGTGAAGCCCCCTCCCCCTACTATCTACTCTCATAACTCAGGTAACGTATGTTTATTTTGACAGGGGTTGAATAATGCACTGGAACGTGCCTTTAACCACTACATTAATAACCCAGGCGGTTGGCAGCAGCTGGTTCAGAAGGTCATGGACGTAGATTTCAGCTGGGAAACTTCCGCTACGCAGTATGAGGATCTTTATTCAAAGTCAGTGGCACGAGCAAGAGCAGTTGCCGCAGGTCGTGCATAAGGAAAGCGTCACTTCTATTTTTGTTTTTTCAATCTGTTATTCATACTCTAGAGTTCCTCCGTGGAGAGTGCCAGAGCAAACTGTGGTGGAATATATAATCATCAATTTGGTGGCTGATCCATGCTTATGCTGCGATGGAAACCTCTGAATTGGTCACTGATGAAAACAAATTCATGTACACTAGACGGGACACTTAGTCCCTTCTGCCGAAAGGAGAGAGCTGTTGCTTGATAATCATGATGGCAACGGCAATCATAATTCATGGACCTGCTTTTCTTGCTATAAGGCCAGGGGAAAACCTGCCATTGTTTTACCTTTTTTTTTTTTTTTTAACCAATATGTAGATAATATTTTNTGCCATTGTTTTTCCTTTTTTTTTTTTTTTTAACCAATATGTAGATAATATTTTGTACATTATTAGTGTACTCAGAATCTTTACCTTGATCTTTGAATACAACTTTACTCAAAATTCAAGCGATTCTCTAGTGATATTAAATTTGACCTGACCGAGTATTTTTCTCGTTTACGAGTTCATGACCCACGGAGAATAGAAATCATAAAATTTCACACGAAAGCACTTCATTCATTTTCAACTAATTTACACCGCCAATAATAATTCATCACCATACAAACTCTCTCTTTTCTCACTTTCCAGGAACAAAGTTTGTGGCGTAGGACCAAGCATTGTTGTTGACTGGGTCAGCAAGGTGGTCAGCCAAGTTCTCCAATGGTCCCTTTCCAGTAACAATGGCCTGAACGAAGAAGCCGAACATGGAGAACATGGCAAGCCTTCCATTTTTGAGCTCCTTCACCTTCAGCTCTGCGAACGCCTCTGGGTCATCGGCCAAACCCAATGGGTCGAAGCTTCCACCTGGGTAGATGGGGTCGGTAATCTCCCCGAGGGGACCGCCGGCAATACGGTAGCCCTCAACGGCGCCCATCAACACGACCTGGCAGGCCCAGATGGCCAGAATGCTCTGTGCGTGGACCAAGCTGGGGTTGCCCAAGTAGTCGAGACCTCCCTCGCTGAAGATCTGAGATCCAGCCTTGAACCACACGGCCTCGCCGAACTTCACGCCGTTGCGGGAGAGAAGCTCGGGGAAGACACAGCCCAAAGCTCCAAGCATGGCCCACCTGGAGTGGATCACTTCGAGCTCACGGTTCTTGGCGAAGGTCTCGGGATCGGCTGAAAGTCCAGCAGTGTCCCAGCCGTAGTCACCGGGGAATTCTCCGGTGAGGTAGGATGGGGGCTCGCCGGAGAATGGGCCCAAGTACTTGACACGGTCGGGGCCATACCATGGGCTGCCGGAGGAAACTTGCTTGGAGGCGGTCTTCCTCATGCTGATTCTTGAACTGCCCTGAATATCAGGGGCATTGGGGGAGAGTTTGATGGCGTTGCCGGCCAGAGATGGGGAGGAGAGAGCCATTGTGGAAGCAGCCATTGTTGGAGATTGGAATGAGGTGTGTAATTGATGATGAGATGTGTTTTGTGGTGGGAAAGAAGTGGGTGGGTTTGTGAGTTTAAATAATGGGCAAACAGAATAGATAGTTATCCATTAGTATCTATATCTTCATTCTCATTGGAGCTCAAAGATTTTTGGTTTGTTTCATCCACGCCCACATGGCTCTTCCTCATCCACCAACTGCTTCAGATTTCTATTTGTATACAGTGACATCTAACGTTACATTTAAGATTTTTTTAGAGACTAATGAGATAGATTCTCTTTCTTACATGGAAATTGTATGGTCTTCATTTATGTGGCTCGAAAATGAAAGGGTTGCCAACCATTGGATGGGTAGCCCAGATTTTCATTTTCATTAGTTGAAAGATTTTGGTAGCTAATAGATACTTTTGTTAGAATTTGATAAAATTTTCATATTGGGATTGTTTCCAATGTTCTTGCTAAATTGTCAAAATTTTCATAAGCTTAAAATTTGATATAATTTGCAAAAATGTACGAGCAAAAAGAAGGAACGTTTATTCACAAATGACCAAGTGTATGCAGATTCTCTAAGCATATTGGTGCTATCAACAACACACGTGTCAAAGTTTGATTGGGAGAAAGAGAAGCTCATGGAGTTGCATAAGATTTTTTAGGTGTGAGTGGCAGAGAGGAGGCCATCTGGAGTAAGGAAATCGACCATAGAAATTTCAACCAATAAGAGAGCTGATATCGATTTCCATGGATAAGGACCCTTCCCCCTAATCCATGTATATTATGCACCATCGTTTCACTTCTTTCCCACCACAAATACATCCCATCATCAATTACACACCTCATTCCAAGCTCCAACAATGGCCGCTTCCACAATGGCTCTCTCCTCCCCATCTCTGGCCGGCAAGCCCATCAAGCTCTCCCCCAACGCCCCCGACGTTCAGGGCAGTTCAAGAATCAGCATGAGGAAGACCGCCTCCAAGCAAGTTTCCTCCGGCAGCCCATGGTACGGCCCCGATCGTGTCAAGTACTTGGGCCCATTCTCCGGCGAGCCCCCATCCTACCTCACCGGAGAATTCCCCGGTGACTACGGCTGGGACACTGCTGGACTTTCAGCCGATCCCGAGACCTTCGCCAAGAACCGTGAGCTCGAAGTGATCCACTCCAGGTGGGCCATGCTTGGAGCTTTGGGCTGTGTCTTCCCCGAGCTTCTCTCCCGCAACGGCGTGAAGTTCGGCGAGGCCGTGTGGTTCAAGGCTGGATCTCAGATCTTCAGCGAGGGAGGTCTCGACTACTTGGGCAACCCCAGCTTGGTCCACGCACAGAGCATTCTGGCCATCTGGGCCTGCCAGGTCGTGTTGATGGGCGCCGTTGAGGGCTACCGCATTGCCGGCGGTCCCCTCGGGGAGATCACCGACCCCATCTACCCAGGTGGAAGCTTCGACCCATTGGGTTTGGCCGATGACCCAGAGGCGTTCGCAGAGCTGAAGGTGAAGGAGCTCAAGAACGGAAGGCTAGCCATGTTCTCCATGTTCGGCTTCTTCGTTCAGGCCATTGTCACTGGAAAGGGACCATTGGAGAACTTGGCTGACCACCTCGCTGATCCAGTCAACAACAATGCTTGGTCCTACGCCACAAACTTCGTTCCCGGAAAGTGAGAGTCTTTACCTCTTGGGATTCAAAGAGAGAGAAAATGAACTTGTATTTGGTGGTGTAAATCTCGGGTCTCAACAATTGAGTGCTTGTTCTGAATGAATTTCATTATCATTTTTCAATAACGGACCATCTTTGAATATTTGACTCTCATGAACCAGTTAAAATACAATTTAAATATTGATTGAGGCTTGGAGAGTGTTTTCTAAATTTAAATATTTTAGAGTATATGAATATGTGACCAAAATATTATTTAAATTTCTATAAAAATATATTTTTAACACATAAGATAAACTATTTGTTTCATGAAAAAAAGTTAGTGGGCCGGTCTTGATGTGTGAAGCCCATGAGCGTGAAGATGGTATGTTGAAAGGCCCAAATATAGAAGCCAGCCCAGATGGGATCGTAGTATTGGGCTAATTTATTTATTTAAAAACTTTTCATAAAAGGACAAAAAAAGAAAAAGAATTATATGTAAAACTCTAAATTAATAATTATATTAATTTAAGCTATGATTTTTTATAAGCAATTTAATTCCACTATAAACGAATAAACGTACTAAAAATCATAATTACATAGAGATTAAAGCATAATCAAAACCAAAATAGCAATATATATAATTTCCCTCCTTTTTTAAGATCCCCACACGAGGAGTTGTTTTCACGATACGCATTTGTCAAACCCCGTGGACCCCACTGCTCCATCCGATCACGCGTGCTTGATCCAACGGTTATAATAGCATCCCATAATCTACGGAAATCATTTCAATCCGACGGCTCTCAGCTCTCCTGGTTTGACTATTGTCTGTTTCAATGCATGATGCACAGATTCCTATAAAAAACTAACGAAAATTTATTAAATACTCTTGCGCCACTCTCTCCGCCTCTCTCTCTCTCTCATCTTCCTGCCAGATCTTTAGCTTGCAGACCAAATCTGGGGACTGATCTACCGAACTCTTACGAAAATCTTCCGATCGTCTTCGTTTTCTTTGCCTGATTCAGCTCTGGAATCACGTGGGTGAAAATTTTTGTTTCATTTTTTTAGGGAACTTGCTAGTTGTCGGATTAGTTTAGCTTGCAGTTATGGAGTTAGGGCATGTAGAAATTTTTGGGGTTCTTTCTTAATTGCTGGATGCGTAATGGTAGGAGTTAATTTTCGAGTGATTTGTACTTTCGAAAGCCTGTTGTTCTGTTTTTTTTTTTGGTCCTTCCTTACTGTAATTATTGTTGATGTGCGGAGTTCTCTTGCAATGAGGTTTTTCTAAATTTTACTTAAAATTACTGTGTTATTAATGCTGATTTTGTTGATCTGTCCTGTTTTCTTTTTCGTTTTTAGGTCATTTTGCACTTGATCCCTTTTCTTCTCGTGTTTGGATAATGAGAAATTTTGGTGAAGTTAATGATCTTGATGGTCCGTCTGGTTCTGTTCACTGCGTGGTTGTTGACTTAATAGGGAGTTCATGATTTTACATTTGTTAATTTATACTTACTATTTTCTCTTTTGCTTGCTTTATTACCCTTCAGTTTAGGATTGTGTTCGCCTTTGTATTAGTGGAATTGGATAATAGAATCAAGATGCCGTGGACATCCTCCTTCGTGAATTACAGCAGCAAGTGTGTTCGCTTGGTGGTCTTCTTTCGTGTCATTCTGTAATTTGATTTGCATCGGTGAGATTTCTAGAATGAATCATTTATGTTGATTATTACCATACTTAGTAGACATCCTCCCAGTTGTCTTGGAGGAAGGTAACTTTTATTTTGTAGTAGACATCCTCCCAGTTGTCTTGGAGGAAGGTAACTTTTATTTTGGTATGTCTTGGAGGATTGTTGGGAGGGAGTCCCACATTGGCTAATTAAGGGGATGATCATAGGTTTATATGTATGGAATACATCTCCATTGGTATGAGGGTTTTGGGGGCCACGAGAGTTTATGCTCAAAGTGGACAACACTATCATACCATTGTAGAGAGTCGTGATTCCTAAAAGATTTTTCATTGGCCCTATTCGGTTGTCAAGGGCAGTAATTTGGGATTCTACTGGATTTATCTTTTCTAATTTTAAGGTTTAGTGATCATTTTAAGGATTGTGAATGGAAACAAATGACTAATTTTGAGTGCTTGGTAATATCATTCTTGTGCTTGTGGACTTTGGGAAACCTCTAAAATGTCTGCTTATGGTGGGTGTGTGCAGGGATTAAAACATTGACTTTGTTGGGCTATCTTATTTTTGCGGTTGTTCCATCTTTATATTACTGGTTGGAGGAGTGAGAATGTACATTGGTGTAACGGGAAAGAGATACAGAGCTGTCAAGGAAGTTGGGAAAGTTAACATGAGTGTTGGAATCATTGCCTACTACCAAGTGATGCAAGTTTGTCAGGTAATAATACACCATCCTCTAGATCATTCTCCCATGCTTTGTATCTGGTACTTGTTGAATCATTGCAGCATATCCTTTTATCCAAAGATGAATTCCTAAAGCGCATTTGTTGAATGGCTTAATACTTACTGAGTTCACTTGCTTGTCTTTACTGCTATCATTATTGAGCTGCTGAAGCACATCTTAAAGTGCTTTGTTGTTGATACCTTTCAATCTGTTCCCTACAGGCTGAGTATTTTCGACAATTGCTAAAACCCGTCACGTAGGATAACATTGCAAAAAGCATTTGGACATTGGGGAGTTAGGTGGACTGGCCTCCATTTGTGCTACAAGTGAAGAAATGAAATATTTCTTTCCTGTTTCGTCTTTAATTTGATATAAAAATCTCATTTATTTTACGATGGCAACGTATAGGGTTGCTGAGTAGTCTTCTCGTTAGTTAACATCCCGTCTTTATTTTCGTAATATAATAGCAAGCTTTCCTGAGAGAAGATACACGAGCTTGAAGTTTAGAGGGTGGGTTGCCTGTTTGTTTGTTTCTTTTACATGGACTTCATGCAGAGTGACCTCAACTGCTACCTCAAAGAGGCAATGCTTCCAACAGCAAACCAAGGGGATGGTGATCATATGCAGATTCCTCTGTCATCTGCCTTTCCTTCTGTTTTACCTCCTGGGAGAAAGAACTTGGGACCTTTCAATGCTGTTGAGTTTCAACCTTCTGAAATTTGTTCCCAAAATTTCATCATCTTTGACCACACGGACGATCGAAGCCAGATCATGTTCCATCCTGCAATTTGTAACAAACTTGGTGGTCCTACTGCGAATTATGAGGATAGAGAAATACCATCTCCTTTGATGGAGGATGAGGATGACATTGATGCATTATTGAGCTTAGAAGACGAAGATCACGAAGACGTTGATGGATCTGAAGATGATGAGATTAACTCTGCAAGGTCTCAATTGAATTATGGAAATAGATCCCCTGATTCTTCATCCTCCTCTTATAGTTCCAAACCCAGGAAGAATCAGTCAGTTAATCCTGTCCACACGGCATTGAGCAGTGGAAGCAGCTGTGATGGTGACATGAAACAGTTGAAATTGAAGAAAATGGTGAAAAAACTGAGAGAGATTCTCCCTGGTGGTTACCAAATGACAACTGCCATGGTTCTGGACGAAGCTGTTAAATACCTGAAATCTCTCAAAGACGAAGTGCAGGAGCTCGGTCTCGGGAGCTTGGAGAACTAAGGTTTATAAAGTTTACCCTTCTGGTGGCATCAACTGAAGAACTCTAAGGATTCTCGGATCTTGTGTATCTCCCGCGCCGCCTGGTCAAAAGTTTTACTGTCACGAAAGATCATTTGTGATGCTTCAGAATGTTTCTAATTTCAAATGCCTGCAGCAGATGTGATTGTCGAACCAGAATCTCTAGTCAGGCTTCTTGGCCATGTCGTTACCTGTTCTATTCATTTTCAACTTTGGTGTCTAGAGAAATTCTGGGATTGATCTGCCTTTTCTGTTGACATTTGTTGTATCTGTAGAATGCTACCTTCGATTTAATACTGCCATTTACTTTCAAAAACAATCTGTTCCAGCATAATTTTCACTTGTGGTCATAAGGGTTCATTTAGATCTTGAGTTGAGATTGTATGATCTCTTAATTCAGTTTTCGAGTTTTATAAATGAGTATGATTTGGTTGAATTCATGCAGGAGAGTGTTTGAACGTTTTTTTCTAAACAATTTCTGATTTATTAACATTATTCACTGCAGAGAATATGGCTGAACTCCTAGAACCACTTCTTAACTCCCTACACAAGAAGAGTTTAAACCTACCCTACACCCTACAAAATCCATAAACAATACCCACGGACGACAAAGACAACCTTAATTCCCATGGAAGCTAAGCTGCACAGGGAAAGAAACATCTCCATCTCCGACCACAATGGTGTGCCCACCTGCCGGCAGCAGATTGTAGCCACTGAAATCAATTAGCCCCAAGCTCTTACAAGCATTCAACTTAAATTTCACCGATTCATTCCCCCCAGCATCCACAAACACCCTCTGGAACCCAACCACCTGCTTGATGTGAGTCGAAGAAATTCCGCTTGGTGGTTTCGAGTACACGATCACAACCTGACTACCGTCCATTTTGCCACTGTTCTCGACTTTGATTTCGAACTCGAACTCATTGGAGCAAGTTAAGTCGTCGACGAGGGCGGCGGCGCAGTCGGGCTTGAAGGCAGTGTCCTCATAGGCAATGTCTCGGCATTGGATTGTTTTGTCGAGATTGACGGCGAGGGATCGGTTGGCGGAGACTAGAGTATGGGTGAAAGAGGTGTAGCTGAGGCCGTAGCCGAAGGGGTAGACGACAGGGCCGTCGTAGAATTTGTAGGTTCTTCCTGGATAGCCGAGGCTTTTCACTGGCCGGAGCGGCATCGATGTCATTGGTAGCAGGTTGACGTAGTCGGCTTCATACCATGTCAACGGTAATCTTCCTCCTAGAACCAGACAACAAAATCAGTTTCAATTGTCAAGCAAGTTATAACCACAATAAGTTTTTTCATTCTGACCTGGGTTGTGTTTTCCAAAGATAACATCGGCGATGGCGCGGCCGCCCTCTTCGCCGGGATAACCAGCCCAGACAATAGCTTTGATGTTGGGATTATTCTTAGCGAAAGAGATGTCGATGCCACCCGCCGACATGATGACAAGAACAACAGGGCCCTTAGAGACAGCTGCAACTTGTTGGATGAGCTGAGTTTGGAAA